AGACCTAGATAGGCTGAATAGTCTCTTCTTGCTTGTTTACTATGAATAAGTCCTACAGTTAAAACTCAGCGCTGTTGCCCCTTTCAATTCCATCAAAATCCCACATTTCTAAAATTCTAGATGCATAAAACAGAATGAGCCAAAACCACAGTTTAAAAAAATATATTTCTAAATAGAATGAGAACAAATACAAAGCAGTGAGATGTCAATGAAATGAAATAATGAACAATGAAAGTAGACAAAATGTTTAGGTTATTGAAAACTCATTTTCCAGTTATAATCACCATCGAATGAAAACACCACCCCCTGCAATTAAAATTTAGTCATAACGGGAATGAGCCAAAAAGGCCAAAAAAAGCCAAAAAATAGGCTGCATCTCATCCATATACACAGATATACAGTTACAAAGAATGCCACAGAAAATAATGTCTTCTGGTCAAGTAACGTTAGCTTCACATTAGAGTCCTTCAGAACTTGTCTGCTTTCTGCACTGAAGGCAATTATAGTTGAACACCAACATGGATGACATTCAGCTCTGCCCTGTAGAAAAGGGGTGCATCAGAAAAGGTACAACTAAGCAATCACTAGACTGTAATCTAAGTAAAACCACTGCACAGAACCTTCAGCAAAGAAAAAAGGCTGGATCACCTGTTTCCTTTCAGAAGCAGATGTTTGTCTGCAGTGCTTAAGCTTGAAAATAAACAATTGGGGCTTGTTGTGGCCTCCAGAGGAGCAGTCCCCTCAGATTGTCTTTGCCCTCTCCATGTCCTATTCCCACTGTGCCAGCGGTGGAAATCATACAAGATTTACTTTCTTCAAGAACCTGTCTGGATCATCCCATAGTGTGATTATGATAAGAATGATCTTCCAGCTCAATAATCTTGCTATCCATTCTCATTTGCTGTGTGAGTATTCAACACCTTTTCGGTTCTCTTTGCTCATGAAAACTGTGATTTTGAGTGTGATTATCACTGTCTAGATGAGCTGCTGTATACAGTAGCTGACATCTAAGTGTTTGTGTCTGCACCTATTGCCACAATCCATTGACAACTATTGTCTCAGTTTTAACAAGCAGGAACGTTTTACCAAGTTCAGGAGTGTTGAATTGTTTTCAGTGTCTCCTTAATTGGGGATGAAGTAGGATAGAGTCCATCTTTTCTCAACTCTCTGATATCTTAGATGGCACACCAACACAAAAAGCATAAAAAATAAATTGGGGGAGATAATAAAAGCAACAATCAGATTGATGCTAGACCTCTAACCCAGTCTACTGTATCAATGTACTGTAGGATACTGATCACATTAAAATGTCATGATATGGCTGAGGTTCTTAACCTGAAACAGGCTTCAGTTTTTTAATTTCCCACCAGCTTCCAACCATTTTTGCATCCAATTTACACGTGCAGTACAACAGACATTTTTCAAATTTATTCCTGTAAAGCAGAGGTAGGCCTTGGCAAAGGAAATGTGGGGCTTGGCAGATGACCTTTCAGTGTGGCCTACAGACAGTTCAGAAGTAACCAACCTGCCAAAAAAGTGTTGTAAAATGAATGACACACCAATTGTGGGTTTTGGCTACTCTTCCAGTATTTTGAAGAAAAGTACACAAGGAATTCAAGTTCAGAGATATTCTATCAATTACAAGTGGTGCACTTACTGGTCTGTGAATTAACATTTTATTTGTTTCTTTAAAAACATTGTATTCTAAGATTGTTTTCATAAGTCTGTTGCTTTTCTATTTTTCTGTTTAAGCAAAACATAAATTCTATGGTATACTGTAAATAAGGCCATGCACTATTAGTTAACAAATTAATCATTTGCAAAATAGAAGCATTACATGTTCACTCATTTTAAGTATGCGTTATGACAAAACCATTAAATTTGGCATACGGTGGATTTCCTGTGGCTGCCCTGGCCTGTGAACATATGCTTTGTACAGTATGTGTGTGCATTATCATTCTGTGAAAACAATGGCAAAATAATTCTCATGATCATTTATTATATAAAAGCAGCTGAATATGATCAACAATAATAGGAAATTCAAACATATATTAAGCGCATATATATATGAAATATCCCTTTTAACTGTTATAGCACCTATTGTTTGCTTTTTCATGAGAACCTTGTTCAAGTTATTGTAAGAGCTAAAACTAAGGTCTATTTTTAGTAATATTGTTCTATTATTCCTTTATGACATACTTCCTACAGGAAGTGAGTTCTTTTGACTTTTAGAAGGAAAGCCTGAAGTACAACAGTTGTGAAATATGGACCCAAATAGAAAGTGCTGTTCCATTAATGGGCTGTGGGAAAAATACTGTCACTGAATTTTCATATACTGTAGATTTCTCTGTAATACAAAGCCTGCTTGAAAACAATGATCATATTTTATTGCATATTGGTCATTCAGGATAGAGATGTAGAAAGCTGATTAATGGTTTGTTTCTTGGTATAACTGAATTAGCGTAAAATTTGTACATTTTTTGTCACTTACAGTATATTTTCGTTTTTTTGTGAGGTTCCTCAGGAAAAAGGTTCTTAATGGGTTTAATAATCTTTGACAAAAAATACAGATACAGGGAAAAACAAATAAGGTGAGATGTGTATTGTCAAAAACAATAAAAAGCACTTGGAAAGTTCTGTAAAAACAAAATAATGTGATAGCATTTATGAAAAAACATGCACTAACAGCATCACCCTCATGTTTGTGATATATTGTAGGCTCATGCACTGTGCTCAGATAAGAGTTAATAATGGCATGGCCAAGGAATTTAGGGCTACAACAATGATATACTGAAGGATATCTCTCATTGTATTGTAACGATGCTTCCGGGCTGTAACCTTGTCTGGTTTGAACCCCTGTGGCAGGACCTACGAGATTCTCAAGAGCCAGCTCTCTTGGCAAAGCTACAATGATCTGCTTTAAGCTACATCTATTCCAGAACACAACGGCAACCAATGTAACACATGAAATGAACACTAAGAGTACATGAAGACTTGCAAATTAGTTTAAACAGAAAGCTATCTCTCAAACATAGGGCCTCACAGAGTGATTTATTTATTTACCAATTTGTCAGTCTTTACACATTTACCAAAGTTCCAGTTTAATTCAAGCTCTTTCTTAATTAAGATTATTGCGCCCTTAATTGGGGTACAGTACATCATTGACTTTTTAACTGTTTTCTTCACTTGAGGATTCAATTGTTAAATTTAAGGGCTTAACAATGTTCAGTGGGAAGGAAAACTAGAAGACACCTGTACTGCTTTTCATCCCAAATATTCAAAGTTCAAAGTTCCTTACGCATATGTCCATTTCATCAACCACTGAAGTGAGGATCCATCTGAGTGATGGGCAACAGCCATTATTGCCCCAGCTGTCCACTACACAGCAAATATAACAACTGTTTACCAGCTGAATTAAGGGGGAGTTTTTAAGTAGGACAAATTGTGCGATTCCAGGGTAGAATATAGCCATGATACTGGGGTTAACAGCCTTGCTCTTAGGAGCAGTGCTATGCAATCTTTCATGATTAAGTAGTCAAGGCCTTGGATTAACATTAAGGAGGCATGGTCACCTGTCCATTGTGCTGGTTTTAATTCACTTTCACGTAAAAAAATAAACTGCTTTTTTTCTCACTTCTGTTTCATGTGGAATAGTCAAGTGCTAAGGTCGTAAGGCTAAATTTCTTGTAAAAATAAGTCAGTGCCTCTCGCAAACCACAGTAACGTGCACACCGTATACAATTTCTGTTGAACATCAGAGGGCTGAAATTAACTATCCAATTAAGTAAAAAGTCCTGTTGGTAAAAATGGAGCTTGCTATAGGACAACTGAACAATATTGGTGTCACTTTATTTGACTGCCTAACTTTCAGAACGCAGGAAATCCATCTGGTCTATGTGACTTCCAAGATCAGGGATCTCATACAGCCATTTTTAAAATCATCTCAGGGAAGCAACATCAATAACATGGTTGGACAGCTTGTTGCAGGTACCCACCAGACTCTTTGTAAAAAAAAAGTGCGTTCTATCTTGTCTCTGTGTCTGATTTTCAAAATTTTAAATGCCTGAAGAGATAAATAATTTTTACTTACTCTGCAATCATTGCTATTACTGTCTCTTCTACTCTCTTTCAAAAAATTGATCATTGTAAACACATACTGTAAGTGAATACTGACTTATTACTTTGCTTTGATATTATTTTATATGTGTGGATGTATGCAGAATAATAGAAACACATTAGTATTCTACTTGTTTGACACCTGCTTGATGTTTTGTGTGTTTTACGTTAAAGACTTATTAATTGTAAGCTAACTTTACTGCTTCTGCAGTTGTTACGACTTTTTTTGCTGAAAATTGCTCCTTTTCATAGCACACTGTACTACAGAGAAACTGACTCTAAACTGAACGTGTGAAAGGGTAATATAAATAAAACATAAATAAAAAATTATCTACCCAACGCTCGTGTGCTTGTCTGCATAGATTCCGTATACAGTAGTTCTTTCAAAATCGAAATACAAGTAAATATTTTATCTCTTTTATTTGTTCATTTATGTTCATCATATTCGTATTTTATTGGCATCGTATTTTATTGGAATTATAATATTCAAGTATACAAAGCTTGTTCTTGTTGTTTTCCATTGTATTAATACGTCAAGGTAATTGCGATGCTTCTTAAATTTACTTAAGATCACTATGAATCTTTTACTGTACAAGATGAACAGAATGTGACATCAAGTGTATTATTGTACTGTATTGGATTATATCTATTTAATTATTACTATATTGGAGTTCCGTAACATTTTTGCACGGTCAATAGATAAACACTCCCCACAAAATTCTGCAGTAAATTAGCAATCCGAAATTAATTCACCCCCAAAAGGCCTTGCAAACGATGTTGTATTGAGTTCGCGGTCTCTTTAAATTTCGTACCCCCGCACACAGCTCTGCTACCACGGCAGATTGACAAGGAGGAGGAGGTTCTGCGCAGCAGAAAATCTCTGCTGCCTCAGCCAGACTGGCGAAGCGACTGCATGTCACACAGTTCGCAGGGTGGATGGTTTGCTTAAGCAACAAGTACCGAACTTCTTAGGTTATATGGTCTAACGATTCATGCCTAAAATTTTATTTTAAAGGCACAATGGAGTCCCGCATGAAAGAAAAGTCACTTCTTTGGAAATGGTGTGCCTGCAGAGGGATGTAATACTTTAATTCGTCTGTGGATTGCATAATGCGGGGACGTCTCCTTCTACCGTTATTCTGTCAAGGTCTGGATTGAGTACAACAAGGAGCAGAAGGACACCGAGGCTTTCCGAATTAATGCATTCCTTGTCCCTTTTTTGAAAGAACAAAACACTTAGTGGATTTTTATGGATATACCTGGGTTCTGTGGATAGATTATGCATTCAACAGGATGGGAGCGAACAATGGTAAAAACTATGGAAGTGAGGGTAAGTACACTTGAAAGTTGCTTCTACTGTAATTTCTCATGCATAACGTCACTGCTTCAGAGTTTGTTTCTTCTAGGAGAATCCAGAGGATTATACAGACGTACTGTAACAAGAGCCTCGCAATAAGTCTTCTATCCTCCTTCCTAAGATTCCACCAGACATTTCTCTGAATTTGTGTGATAAATGCGATACAATATAACTTTTGCGAAGGGCAGGGAAAATAAACACTTACCTGTCAAAACCTGCGCTTTTCATCACTCCTAACCTTATGGGATTTCGTATTTCTTCTGAGAACCGTTATCCTGTCCGTGTGAGTCTACTTATTTCATAAAAGCAACTTTGATAAGAAATGTTTGCTGTTCGGAACAATGTAAAAGTCTTTTTGGATAATAACTAGAGGAAAAAAAGTTACATAAATACCAACAGCTAGTTAGTAATTTCTGGTGACGAGCGTTTGTTGTTCCTTGTACTAAGCAGATGGATCCCAAGCGCTGAATTATGAGCGCAAGTTATCCCACTGCCTCATTGTTTGAAACGAGACGTAGGAGATCCTACAAGATTTTTTGTCAGTAAGCTTAGGGGCCCTCTTTTGACTGTAACAGGAAGAGGGAGTCTTTACAGTCCTCAAAAATCTCTGTTCACTGTTGTAACACCATCGGATTCATAACGAGTTGGAGAGAATGTAATTTAAGAAGTTTTTTTTAGCTTGACGCATTTGTAAAAACCCAGAAAAGTCTTGAAGCTTCTCGGATAGGCTATTAGGATTCATAAATTAAAGTTTTGTGAAAGCTTGATAGAATCTGCAAGTTAGGGTGTACTGTACCTTTACAAGTAATATTCTGAAACGTGGAGAAGCCACTTATACAGTACATACAGTACTGTACTGCATATGATTTGTGCAATGCGGTGCTTTTCCAATGTGCTGTATTGACCTACTGTATTTACACATGAGATGACTTTCTGAATATCTGAAGTGACATTGAGTGGATTGGTTTTTTAGTTTTCAGTAGTTAACAAGAGATGTGCTGGAATGCACCTCTGAAAATGGTGTGAAATTAAAGTTGTTCCAAGCAATGGCTTCTGAGCTGTTGGGTTTTCCACAGAACATTTCCATGATTTACCTGTATACATTGAAGTGCTGTATACACCAGATTGATACAGTATACCTCTATAGCAGTAGTGGAAAAACTGGGTGAGCCATATGTTCCTTAGAGATAAATATGTAGTACACCAGAGACACCAAAACATTCTATTGCCTACAATAGAATGGTTGTGAAAATAATTCTGTCCTGAAGTGTTTTCAGTAATTTAAGATGTGTAAAATTCTTTCTCATTAGTGTCATTGGGTATGTGGGAGGTCTTATTTTGTGTAATTTCAAGGCCATTTTATCTTAGTCCACTCACATACACCTTAAAGCATTCCTGTGTTAAATTGGTATGAAACTAAGACATCCTGTCTGATAGTTTATGCCTTATCCTTGGAGTTAGAGTTGTTCAACCAAGCATTTCTGGTACAGACCATTTCTGTACATTTATGGGTTTGACTTTCGTTTCTGTGAAAATGTTGTCTCTCTGTGCTCTCCCTCTGCCAGATTTTATTTTTGCTGCCATGGTTAGATGTGTGAATGATAGAGAACCTTGGTCTTATTTGCATTCGGGAGGAAATGAGATGACCTGGGTCTCATACATGATGTGGTCATCTGAGAATTACTGCACTTGGACGGATGTGCTGACTTTTTTTTCCTCTTTTGAGAGCTTAGTGACTGGATGTACAGTAACTAATTATCTCATCTTGTTTATTCTGTATTTAGTTAATTCACTGTTCACACAATTCATCTTTACCAGGTCACTACTAGGTGATGAGCCAACAGATATATCACCCTGCAGCTAAGCAGGTGTGAGCCTGGCCAGTACCTGGATGGGAGACCTCCTGGGAAAGAACTAAGGTTTTTGCTAGAAGAGGTGTTAGTGGGGCCAGCAGGGGGCACTCACCCTGCGGTCTGTGTGGGTTCTAATGCCCCAGTATAGGGATGGGACATTATACCGTTGCAACGCTCCGTGGAAAAGTGAAGGGCATGATAAGGCACAGAAAGGCGTCATGGCTGTCCACTGCAACCAAGGAAGTCTCCAGTCGTAACAACTACTCGTACCACTGGACCCAGGCTTCTGAGGTCGGGAGAGTGGGACTGCCCCAGTGCAACGGCTTTCCCACTTTAAAAAAAAGCTCTCCCACACAGGTTTCTTCGTGCTGCTCATCTTCCAAACAGATGAGCTGTACAAAGTACAACCGTCATTTTCGGACATGACAGACAACCATAAGATAAGATAAAACGAGGTGATGAACTATAAAGCTGTACAACCTGAGTATTCAGTTTACAGGACCAAGGTTTTGAAACTTGCACTATAATGTTTCACTGTGTCAGTTGGAGTGATGTTTTGTCTGGAATTTTGGAGCTGTTTTTAATAACCATTGCATTTTGCTTGTTTGAAAATAAATCACGTTCAGGTTACTAATCCCTAAGAGCTTGTACTGTACTTCCACATGATGCACATTTGTATGTTTACTTGTTCTGTTTGGTGGTGAATTCAGCAAGATAGAAATACAGTGCTCAAAGATACACTTGTTAAGTTACGATTATGCTCATCGAGCCTTGTGATTCGGTCAGATTTAGGGAATTTGCAGGCAGCCAGTGCCATATGTTGTGGATCTTTAAAATGGGCTCTTTTAACAGGATGTTAATTGTGAATTACTTGTTTAATTGAAAGCTGCTGCTCAGGGTCTTCCTTAGTGTTTCGAATTACTGTAAAGCAGAAGCCGCATGACTAATTCAGTGACATTCAGCTATTTTACAAGGGGTGTGGTAACCATGCCCTAACAATTAACTGCCCTTGATGAAGCTTGTACAGTAGATCATGAAGAATGTGGATTGAGGTATCTTCATGTAGATCAGTGGGAGAGTGAAATCTACTGTTGGTCAATTAAATTCATAATAGCCACTATTCCTAGCTGCATCATGCATTTTCATGCACTTTCTGATGTACTGATGTCCAAGGTATGGGGAGATTTAAAATAATAAAGAAGTCAGACCTGTAGACTGATTTATGCTTGTTAGTTCCTCTGTTGTTTTGACTTCCTATGATACTGGCAACAGGCACAGAAGGGGGAACAAAGGTTTACCTTTTGATACTGTACCTTTCCTGTGGCAATTGCAAAAGCTCAATGCTCCGTATACTTCACCTACTGTTGCTGGTCCTTCAGTTTTTGCACTGTAATTTTGATCCACTTTGTACCTGTGTTCAGATGTGATCGTACCCAGAGTTTTAAATTATCTGTTGAAGAGTTCTCATTTGTCAAACCAGTGTTTAATGACATGTTTCTGATGTTTGTGAGACACATTCCAAAGGTTTTCTACCTGCTCCTCAAAGGAAGTGCTAATCACAAGGGCATTGTTCAGTTCAGGGGCACACATTCAATCTATCAGGGCTTCCCAGCATTCCTCCATGCATTTTTGAAATGTGGCTGGAGCCTTCATTAGGCCAAAACCCAGCCACTAAAATCTCATGGTCTTGTAATGGCCATTAATGAACAACTTTTAACTTTAAAAACACTTGGTGACAAGTCTTACTTTGGACTGAAAATGAAACCATCTAAGCTGGAAAAGCTGTCTAAAATCCCCTGGATGGATGGTACAGGCTGTTGATCCAGAATGGTAACTTTATTCAGCTCCCTGTAATCAGTGGACACTTTGAGTGTACCATCCTTTTTATGAATGCTAATAATGGGAGAGGAATAAGGTGAGATTTACTTACCTATCCTTTGGAGATTAGGTCTTGTAAATAGTCATTGACTTCTTTGTTTAAAGGCTCAGGTACTGCAGATGTAGGTTATCTGAATTAGATAATGTTCATGAAGATTTATTTTTGTTTTTATTGAGTCAGTTTGATTCATGTCATCCCAGTGTTTTGTATTTGACAGTTTATATTGGTCTTTAGAGATTTAACTAATGTTAAGTGATAGCTCCCATTTCTCCATTTTAGATATTGTACAGTATGTTACCTGAATTTGCATCCATTCCTTTTATGACATCCATCCTTTAAGTTACTTTCAAAGTTTTAATTTTATTTTTCTTTCTAAACGCTTCTTGGTGCTGATTGAAATTGTTGGGTGTAATATCATGTTCAGCAGGATTTCAAACAGGACAAGCTATGTGGCAGTTTGGCCCGTTCAAAACTTTCAGTAGGATATCAGTAATGTTTAGGTTTCCCTTTATGAAGATTGTTGTATCTTTCTCAAAAGACTTTTGAAAATGCACCAGAACTGAACTTTGCACACACCCAACACTGTGAGCGTTTGAATAACGTTCCAAAGGTCCCCAGTAATTGGCTTTTCAAGGTGGTCACTTGACAGAACTGACACAGTTAAAGCTTAATCATCTGGCTGTACCCAGAACGGAATTTCAATTCACTCTTGGAAACAAATAGGCTTTTCATCAGCAGCTTTAATGTCAAGTCTATCTTTGGTCTCCAACGTTTCTTCCAGTATTGAATCTTTGCATGAGATTTAGTTTAGAAACTACGCAGACCAGCAACATTCTTGTTTCAACATCCTTCACTGTATTAATGCATCTTTTTCCTGACAGATCAGTTACTTTGGAAAACTGCCCGTGTTAAATAACATATGCACATAACTATGTCTTTGAGTTTAGTCTGTAGCCTCTACTGACTGATTCTGTTTGTCTTCAACCTTACTTTCAGTGACATTAAAACCTCTCTTTTGCTGTCCTCTTTTCATTTTGACCAAGAAGTACTGATTATTGTTCTTGAGGTCTTTGAGAAAATGACTAAAGCATGTCTTCATTACTTTTACTTCAGTTAAACCAGATATTAGTTCTTTAATTTTATTCAAGAGTTCATCTTTTTCATGTCCCTTGCTTTTATGGGGATAAGACTGCATCATGAGCAGTGTGTCTTTAGAATATTCATATTGAATTACTCTAGGG